TCCTGTGAGTTGCCACATTCCAGATGGAACAAACAGTATAAATGCAATCATTCCAAACCTGCAATGATTCATCTACATATCCTCAGTTTTGCAATTTCTTTTTGGTGACCACTGCATTATGATGCATACACAAACTTTTTTTTTGTGGGTAGATTAAGAAATTAACTTGGTTGATTAAAGCATGGTGCTGATATGGAAAGGGTTTCAGATTTGATCCCTGTATGGGCAATTTATTTATGAATAATCAATGACTCAATATTCCTTGTGGATCCTTCCAGCTCTGAATATTCTTTGATACCCTGATTGTGGTCAGAATATACATACATTGAGGCCAGCAAGAGCTGACAGGACATTTCCACATTGCAATTACTGCCTAAAACACTGAACTTCTGGCACCTTGCATTTTCCTATAGTTTTTGCTCTGTTTCATACAAAATGCAAGATATCCAGAAAAGTGACCCTTGATAATTTGCTACTTTAGCTAACATGTTCTTATCCATTGATTTTACCACTTGTTCTGCCCTTCTTTGGAGCAGCTGAAACAGCGATTTCCATAGCAGAAACAACCTGCAAGAAGCTACTCATCCTAAGGACCCAGCATGCTCCCTGTGTGGTATTTCTGGACTTTAATCTCATCTGCTGCAGCTTTGCCTGTCATGGGGAACAGCTGCTGGGCTTTGTGTACTGCACCCACAAATCAAGATCCATTTTCTACCTTTATGTGGCCAAAATCAAGAACTCTCCAAATGCTCTGGCCATGGAGGCTCTGGAAACTGATGTCCGTGCTTAACAGAGCGAAGACAAGACCAATATTAACCAAAAAAAGAAGACTGAAGGGCTACACGATAACTTCTGGTTTCTGCCTCCTCTGCTGTGCCATAACACTCTATTCTCTAGTGGTCTTAGCTAAGCAGCGTCCTATTGTTAGAAAACATATTTATTTAGTCTTACCCTACACTGCAGTTGCAGCTGTGGTAATGAGTTTTATATCAATATTGCACAAATTGCAGAATCCCCTACTAAAATAGGAAGCAAGAACAAATTGTTCTAGTAACTTGGCTGAACATAGCTGTGGTTTTCAATACTTCTGAACACTCATAAAGCATTTGTGGACTGTGGTTTAAAATGTATGAAAACTAACATTTCTGCTAAGAGCATTGGCACTGATATTCTGCTGCTTGTATTCTCATAAGAAAATGGTTTGAAATATTCCAATCCTCTTTACTGTAATACTGACACAGGCTTTGCTTGAAATTTTAGTCCGTAGGTTGCAGAGTTCATCCCATGCTTAGAAAATTGTGAAAAGTCTGTGTCTTCTTCATGGCAACTGTCTTCATTTTTCTGCAGATTCCAAAGACAAAGCTGAGCTGTCTTTGGTCAACATTTTTGAGGCACTCTTCCTAGTGTTCAAACTGGACATATACTTTCTGCAGAACACATTATCAAACATTACTAAATTAAAAATCTGTCCCTGCATAGTGCTTACAAAAACTAGAACCCTAATAAATAAAACTCACATATTTAGATAAAAAACCAGAAAACTATTAGGTAGTATCTGCTGATCCATTGGCATATTCTCCTTGAATGCCAAACAGTTCTGTAAAAAAAAGGACCAAAATAATGCTCTTTAAGACAGGAATCAACAACACTTTGGTATGGTAGGGGACAGGAAACTGGCAAATGTCTATAACATGTAATTTAACTTTGTGTTGGTTATGGCACTTAAGAGACACCCTCATCTGTGACACTTTGTATCTTGAAATCTCCTATCTGGGACAGCCCCTCTGATGGAAAACTTATCTGGCAGTCCCACACACAGTTTCTGCGCCTCACTGTCCTTTGTGCAAAGGACCATTGTTATTTTTTTGGGAGGACAAAGGTCAGCCCAGCAACTGGAGACAGCTGAACCTTGCCTTCAAATGAAGCAATTGCGTTCAAGCAACAACAGGCAGTTGTTGCTTGAGTCCTTTTCCAGAGGAAACACAAGGTGAGGGTATCCCAGAATGAAAAGAGGGGAAGCAAGGGAGCAGGAAGGGGTTACTTAAGAGGTGCATCCTTTCAAACTTTGCAATAAGGAAGCTTAATTTTCTAAACAAATACAGAGTGTTTCTTACCTACATAGATGTTCCAGAATTCCTCCTATAGGTAAGTAAAAAAAGGAAAAAAAAAAAAAAAAAAGAAATAGAGTTAGATAAGAATTACCAAATTACTCAGAAAAATATTAGATTTTCATACACAGGATACTTGCAGCTAACAATTGTTACAGGAAATATTTACATTACAGATACATATAGTGCCTAGCAGCCCACTATTACCATTTAATAACTTAAAACCCTATGATCTATATAGTGCCCAGTTCTACAGAAATAAGTCTCATACATTTTTCAGAAATATCTGAACCTCCTTAGAGTTTTTCCAGTGTGACCCATTCACCATAAGCCACTTGATTTCTTGATAATTACCTTTCCACCAGTTTTGCTGAATGTACTTATAGTCCTGTAATGCCAAATTCTCAGTCTTGATCCCCCACTGCATACTCCCATCAATCAGGACCTCACAAATCCTGACATTTTAAAATATTTTGTCTGATTTGTATTCTCCTTTCCATTTGCACTGAGGACTCCAGGATGCTGCCTGTGCAAGACAGTCCTTTCCAGTGACATCTGGTCACCAGGCAGAACAGGCTGTGCCAGTTCTGCTGTAGGTAAGTCAACATTTATGATCTGAAGTACACTGGTGATGCACTCAGGACTCCCCACCCAGGACACCTCAGGGCCACTCCAAGAACATTCTGGACATCAAGTAATACTAAAGGGAAGTTAATCTGGCCTTAGCTCCAGTTTCAGGGTAGTTCTAAACAGCCATATAGCTACAGTCTATATTTGCAACACCAGCTTTTCTAATTACAATCCACACAGCTGCCCCATCTCTTTAACTTTCCCTTCAGCTTGGGAACAAATCACATTTCTGTCTATAGTTAAGCAAGCCATTGGGGTAGGGCAGGTGACACAAGAGTCAGACTTCATTCCAGTCAACATTAAGGCATTTATGAACTGTTCATAGTATACATTCTCTCAATTTACATAAAGAGAGCTACAAAATTACAAACAAAGCTGCTTCAGATAAGTTCAGTAAAATTTTCTCATGAGGTTCCATGTCAGCATTTGCCTTCTCAGACTTCCTGTGGACTGCCTTGTCACTTAGGGATATAACCCAAGACAGGGTGAATGTATTTTCAGCACTGATAGCAGCAAAGTCATTGAATGTCAAATAGCTTTCAATGGCAATTAAACAGATCAGAACAGGTAAAAGAATTGAGGATTTAACCTGGGCTGGCCATGCAAGAGCTAAATTAAGACTGTTATGGGATGATTGTTGCCTTAGCAATTCTGCACACAGTCAATCACTATTCTTTGTGTTAAGTTATTGAGAAAAACTTTTGAATTTTGATGCCCAGCTCAAAGGACATGAATAGTAACTTTTAAATATGAAATATATAGACCTATGTTTCATATTAGTTCATCCTTACAGTTTTCTCCTGGTCTTCAAAAGCTTCTCTTGCTTCTTCTTTTGAGCAGCGCTCTTCATTGCATTCTCTTTCAATATTCCCTTTCTTCCATTCCTCTAAGAAAGTGTTAGCACGTTTTGTTCTTTCCAAGAACTTGTCAGCATTTTCTTTCTTGAGGAATACTAGATAGCAGAAAAAAATTATACAGGTCAGTAACATTTAGTGGTGGAAAAGAGTCACGACAAATGAGTGAAGTAGAAACACAGGCTTATACATCCCAGGCTCTCTCAGAGCAGTCTCTCTGAGAATCAGTAGGCTCAAAACAAAATGTAGTAACTTGGAATTCTCTCATATTCTTTTTAATCTTGAAAAGGTTGCCAATGAGGGCTTATATTTCTGCTGCTCCTGCTCAAGACTCAGTCTTGAATGCAATGACTTTCCCTGAATGCTGGGGAGATCACAGAATCACAGAATCACTAGGCTGGAAAAGATCTTCAGGACCTCAAATCATGGCACTAAGTGCCACATCCAGTCTTTTTTTAAACACATCCAGGGATGGTGACTACATCACATTCCTGGTATATTCCAGTACTTTATCATTCTTTCCATGAAAAACTTTTTCCTAATATCCAACTTGTATTTCCCTTGTTGCAGCTTAAGGCTGTGTCTGTCCTCTTGTTCTGTCAGATGCTGCCTGGAGGAAGAGAACAACCCCACCTGACTACAGCCAACTTTCAGGAAGTTGTAGAGAGCAGTAGGATCACCTGAGTCTCCTTTCCTCCAGGCTGAACACCCCCAGCTCCCTCAGTTGTTCCTCACAGGGTTTGTGTTCCAAGCCCCTCACCAGCCTTGTTGCCCTTCTCTAGATATGCTCAAGTGTCTCAAGGTCCTTCCCAAACTGAGGGACCAGAACTGGACACAGCACTCACAGTGCAGCCTCACCAGTGACAAGGGCAGGGGAAGGAAGACCTCCTGGGATTACATAAATTGCTAATTACCCTGTAAAGAGTATATCTTCTAGGAAAGTGTGAAGAGTTTGGAAGTTGGCCTTTAATCAAGTTCTAGAACCTGGAATTTACACTGAGGAAATACTTTCCAATATTTCCTATATTTCCAATATTTTTTAGGCTGGAGTGTGGAAAAGCGTGCTACAGATGTGACTTCAAGGACAATGGCATGCTCACTGGGAGGCCTGCACATTCCTTTTGGAGCATTCTTCATGCAGCTTAATTCCATGACAAATAAACTTGCTAAAAGTAATTGTATACCCCAATATCCTCCAAGTGAGCACAGAGGAGACTTATTCTGCTTTCACTGAAATTGATGGATCATCCTCAGGGAGGCAAGTTCTGTTTGTGTTATTTATATTAAGCAATCCTACGCATAATTTGAAATCCCACTTCCTTTGAAAAGGGTCCTCTCAAGGAAGGCTTATAGAAAGTACTTTTGACTTGCAGCTCAGCGACTATTAGTTCATTCACCCACTGTCTTATTTGCCCTTAAATCTCCTTCTTCGGCAACAGGAAAGTGACAGGACACAGCCGGTGGGGTTATCACCTCTCTATTCCTTTGCTTTCACGCCACCCGTGTAAGCGGATGTTTTTGTAAACTTGAATTAGCCTCCTTCTCAGGCTGCTCAGTCTTTTTCCCAAGGTCTCTATCATACTTCTTCTTTAGAGACATCAAGGAGCAAAAGGCATTGGTCAATGGAAGCAGGATATTCCAGAAACATGCTAAAGACCTTGTTTTAAACCCCAAGCAGTCCGACTTACTGAAGGACGAGTTAACAGCTTTTGAAAAGTTATTTGCTGATGTTGCCTTGGACTTAGGCGCTGAGACTCTGGCGGCACAAGAGGGCATCGGGACCTGCTCCCCCGCTGTGCCCCAGCTCCTCCCCGGCAAAGCGCATCCCATCGCCAGGTTTCCCCTCGCACACGAGAGCGCCGCAAGCTGCGAGAGCAGCTGTCCTCCCGGTGCGAACGACGGGCAATCCCACTTTCCTACACCGTCCCGGAGATGCCCGCAGCAGCTCCCGAAGCTCAGCCCCGCTTGACGGCGGTGCGCGGGGTCGGCGCAGCGCTGACAAGCCGAACCCGCCGCGGCTGAGCCGCGCGGTGCCCGCCGCCCCGCCCGCAGCACCGACCCGCGGCGCTCGCCCGGCGGGCCCCCTGCCCCCGGAGACTCTTGGGAAGGGAGATTCCCCCTCCCGAAAAGATGGAAAAGGAGCCGCCTTACCGCCTCCCTGAGCGCGGAGCTCGGCGGGCAGCGCGGCGCAGAGCAGCAGGAGCAGCAGGCGCCCGGCCATGGCGCCCGCCGAAGCCGCGCCCGGGGCCGCGCCGCCGGCACGGACGGACGGACGGGACGGACGGACGGGACGGGAGGGACGGGACGGGAGGGACGGGAGCCGAAGTCTTCGGCCCCTCGGGCGGGGTGAGACTGAAGCCGCGTAACTTCACCCTGCCCAGAAATAGCGGAAGCGCCGGGATGGGGTGACAGCCGCGGCGGGATTTCTCAGTCGGGGGGATGAAGCTGCTCATCTTTTTGTTCTTTATTTTTTTTTAAAGCCCAAGGCAACGTGCGGTTTGTTTTGTTTGGGGGTTTTTTTTGTATGTTTTGTTTGTTTGTTTTGGTGATTTTTGTTTTGGTTTTGTTTTGGTGGGGTGTTTTTTGTTTTTTTTTTTTTTTATCCACTGTACTATTTCACCTCCTCATTGCTTTACTTCTCATTTTTGTCCACACTACTTTTTTAAAGATAGACAGAACCATAGGATCACAGAGGAGTTTGGGTTGGAAGTGACCTATAAAGGTCATTTGGTTCCAACCCTACTTCCATGGGACATCTTCCTCTAGATGAAGTTGTTCAAATCACTGCCTAACCTGTTCTTGAATGTTTCCAAGGATGGGGCATCTACCATCACTCTGGACAACCTGTGCTGGCATTGCACCATCCACACTATAAAAAAGATCATCCTTATATCCAGTCTAAACTGACTCTTTTTTAGTTTAAAGTCATTACCCCTTGTCTTATTGCTACTCCTGCAATGCAATACTCTGTTGTTGTATAAAGTAGAAAATGTGATGGACTCGTTGACTTGTAAACTCTGGCTTCTAGTATCAAAAAGATGTAATCAGTAAAAGCAAAACAATCTTTCAAAGCTTATGAGATCTCTTTGAAGAGCCTCAAAGTAAGCTGATGAAAAGCAGGAAACATCAATTTCCTATCATACGTTTCTTCCAATTTCCAAAACATATATAATCATGGTAAATCCTGTTTAAATTATGCTCTGGAAAAAATTATTTAAATAGTAGAAGATTCCACTGCTTTAGGAAATGCTTATAGTTGCATGAGAGAGGATGATGTGTCTAGTTGCCTAGAAATGTGGTTGAAGTCCATACTGATCTTGCCAAAAGGATAAGAAATCTGTGCTATCTCTTTTAGATGGTATTTGCATACATCTGGTCAGGGCTTATTTAGTGGGGAAACTAGAGGAGTAGAGAAGTAGGGGAGTAACAGTGGCTAAGCTAAAATATTTAGAATGGTGAAAGCAGATAACCACCCTCCCTGGCACCTCTCTGATATAAGAAAGGGTCCATTTCATTCCTGTTTGACTAGAAAAATTAATGGGATTGTTCCCTTTTCTTACAAGAAATGTGAATAAAAAATCATGTTTTTCAAATGTTTGTTGTTTTTATTTCTTCATTAAATGTTTTCTTCATTAAATTCTTCATTCTTCATTAAATGTCATTTCTCCACCCATCCTCTACAAAAGAAACAGGAATTTCTGAACCCTTCTCTCCTGCTAGCATTAAGGGGGTGAAAAGCCTAGATTGTTGTCATTAGTAGGATTACATAAAATAGATTATTTAAATAGTCTTGTTCTGGTATATTTAAACAAAGAAATGTAGAAATTATTAGTTCCATTTTTTTTTTTCAAACCTACATATTAAATAGAGGTGGCAGAGCAGTAAAGAGAAGACTCTCATTTGGATGCAAAAAATATGACCCTGATTATGTGGATGATTATGATTAGATTTATTGCTAATACAATGTTTAAATAGATAATACCAGTGCAGTACACAATATAAGCAGGTCTAAAGGGTTATAATGCAAGCAGGTTCAGCTAGAAATGTATAGGTGTACAGCTTTTTGGCACAGTTGCACTCTGTGCAGGGACAACTGAAAGGGAGAGGATGTGTGTGTGTGTGTGTTGAGGATGCATGTAAAGACTCACTAGTTTTTGCTGTGGCCATAGCAGAGCATAAGGACTAAACTAGTTTCAAAGACAAACCACCTACCTAAGTCCCAACAATAAGTTCCTGTAGGATGGTCACATTTTCAAAAATAAAGAGAAATCTTTCTTTTCTTTCTGACAGGCCTTGGGATTCTCAGTCTCAAGAGTCCAAAGCATTGTCTTATTTTACTGGGGCATCAAATTTTCACATTTACATATAAACTGTACCTGAGTGAAGGAGAATGGCTGGGGGTGGATGAGAATTGAGACATGGGAATACTTAAATGTTCCTTGTTCTCTCCAGGCAGAAATGAGCATGCTGAGGAAACCCATACTAGCTGTTTCTTGACTCCATGCTCTTCTACTTTCAGGCTTATGCAGCACTTGAAGACATGTAATTTATACAGGATATAGGTTGTATCTATGGAACTCCAGGTCTGGCCAGTGACAGAGATTAAAATGACTGATGGCATTTCATGACTATGGGATGTTTGGGTGAAATGACCTGCTCTTAGTCTAAATAAATCTCTCACAGCAGGGTCTTTGGGATAGCAAGGGAGTGAAAGACAAGGTGTAGTTTGTGGTACCGCTCAGCCTGCTGTATGTGACATATTTTGGTGGGGTTTTGCCTGAGGAAAACCAGTGCCATTTCTGCCACACTGATGCAGAGAGACTCTTGCATAGAACATACTTTTCAGTTACCTTTAAGTTCTTGGATAAAACTAATTGATTTTGGCTAATAATATATTAAGCAGAAGCTGGCTTTTTGTGCTGGGTTGGATTGGTGCTATAAGGAGCACTAAATTACTTTTATTCCTTCTCTTCCTCCTTTTTTAAAGGGGTCAATATTTTATTTTTAGAAAGAGCACAAAGGAAGCAATGGCGAGAGGAAAGAGGAAACTGGTCCCAGTGCTAAAACCTTGGTTTGAGTTGTGCGTATAATTATGAGATGAATTGCCTTTCCTAGGTTTGTAGATTAATGATTGATTTACCAGGAAATGTGCTGTTATTATAAATGTGGGGCCTAATTTGGATTTTGTTGCTTGGGAGTTGCCTGGGTGGGGAAGGAAAGTGGGATCCAGCCTTTATTTTTACTCCTTTTCTTAGCCTTGGGAATGCACATGTTCAAAAAACATCTGTCTCTCTCCTTCTGCACAGTCTTCTCATCGCTGCCTTTTGCTGAAGCAGCCCAAACACTCTTGGCACAGGGGAACCCAGACTGCACACTTTGCCCTGTCAGGCAGTAGCTACATTTTAGAAGGAAACCGCAGTACAAAAGTGGGATCTCAGGTTCCATGCAGTGTATGCAAAGCAGTTTCATTTAAAATGTCACGTTTACCTTGGCAGAACCACTCTTTAGTAGGGATTAAGGCTGCAGAAACCACTGAATCATACTCTCTGTTTCTATATGTGTGCCAGGTCACAAACATAAATTGCAATGTTGGCCCTCATCCGTCATCACATAAGGCTCTGGCATACTTTTTCATTCCCTGAATATGAGTGGAATGAGAAGGTTACTTGGAAAGTCATCTGTCTGAAAAGCTGTCCTGTTATAATTAGAGGGCAATCTTGAATTTCATCTCTGGAAGATTATGAAGTGAAGAGGCGGGAGAGAGGGATGTATACTGCAGGTTACCAGGGCCTCTGGTAAGCCAATCCGACCATGACTTGAAGGGCTGAAGCAAAAAAAGTTGGGGGAATAAGACAGTGTGATTTTTTTTAAACAAAAAGATGTAAAGATAACCTCAAGCAGCCAGATCTGGATCTAAATATAAGTTTGAATTTCAAGCATTTCTAGGCTTCAAGGATATTTAGAAGTGGCAGTTTAGCTTGGCTTGTATCTGGTACCAAAGATTCACTTTTCTTTCTAAAAGCTTCTTAGACACCAGAGTGAATAAAAGGCAGCTCAAGGTGCAGCCATAGAATAAGGGAAAATAGCAGACAACTGGATGGGGGGGGG